AAATAAATAAATAAATAAACTTCATATCTGTTAGCCAGATTTTTCTAATCCTTAAAGGTATCCTTTTCCTTGATATTTTTTCTACATGCACAATTCACTATTTACTCATATTCATCTTAACAATGAGAAACAACCCCACTAAGGATAAAACATGCCAATACAGATGCAAGTGGTATAGAACAGGCACCTCTGACATGACAGAGGGAGGCACTTCTGATATGTCCTCTCCCCAAAAGCAACCATATATATACATATACATGGAACTCTCAAAAATAACCATTTTGGCATTTTTGATATCAACCGAACACTGAGAATTGTTTGGTCATTAAAACTACTAAACTTAAAGTAAGAAGAGCACAAGTCTTTGGTGTTCTTCACAGTGTTGCTCCCGTCCTCTGTGGCACTGTCATTCAACCAGAGTGGGGAAGGCCATGAAATCAACAGCTTTCCTGCTGCTGCCAGAAGGAACTCAACTGATTTGGAGCATAGCTATTTAAAGTGGGGATCTCAGCAGAAGGCAACCATTGGAGGTTAGTGGCTACAGTGGCGGGCTACTTGGGGATTTAATAGTGTTTGAGGAGGTAAGGGAACCATAACATTCTTAATAAGCTCTCCTTCCATCCTAGATTGATCAGAGGCTCTGAGCATGCACAGCAGAGACCAGAGTGGACCCAAGCCACCCACACATCCCTGGACAGTGGAGCCTGTGTGGAGGTGCAGGGGAAACATAAGCAAGTCTAGTGGAAATTAAAGGCTGAGGAAAACTGGAAAATGGTCTGACGTATGAATACACATCCCAGCCCACACAGATCTATCAGCAGAGGCTGAAAGTCTTACTCCCTGAGGCAGCTAAACACAAACTCTGACCAACATTTAGCTGAACATTAAGTGATCTAATCACAGGAACAACACCATGAGAGTCAGACTTAAAAGCAAAATCAAGAATTAAAAAACTGAGCAAAGATATCAGCAGCCACCCATTGCAAGAGAGACAGACTTTACTAATTTAGTTGTTTTAAATGAGCAAACAAAAACAACAACTCTCTGCTGAGGAGGTGAAGCTAGAATCCAGAGTTGATACAATATAACAAAAAGCATCTCGTATTCAACAAAATATCATGAGATGTGCATACAAGAAAGCATTGCTCATACCAAGAAAAAACTGCCTCTCTGTGTCCCCAGATGCTGGATTTAGCAAAGACTTCCAACCACTGTTATACAAAAGTTCTAAGAACTAATCTAAATCATGTTTAAAGAATTAACTGAAACTATGATGATAATGGCTGCACAAATAGAGAACCTCAATGAAGAGAATTAATTAAAAAGAACCAATTAGAAATTCTGGAGTTGAAAATCACCACAATGAAATAAAAAATTCACTACAGGAGCTTAATAGCAAATGTGAGATGATAGAAGAAAGCATAGGTATCAAACAAAAGGTATCAATATGAATTATTCTATCTGAAGAATAGGGACAAAAAATTAAAGTGNCTTAATGATAGAAGAAAGGCAATAAGCAAGTAAACCACAAATAATTTTAAAAGTGATAAGTGAAATGAAGAAAGTAACACACAGGTATCTCTAAGGAGGTGTCATTTAAACTGAACCCACAAGAGCTGGAGGTAGAACATCCTAGGAAAAGGGAACATAGACTGCAAAGTGTCTGGAGCAGGAACAAACTTGGTACAGCCAAGGAACAGGATGCAGGTCAGTAGAATTCAGGCATAATAAACTGCGGAAGAGTAGTTGAGATTATAGAAACAGATGAAGTCAGATCACATTGGTCCTTGGAGACCATGACAGGGGGTTCAGATGTTCCTCCAGGTACAGTGAGATACAATGGGCTAAGTGACTGATGTCCTCAATTATGTGGAGCGTAAATCCCCCCAAGCACAAAGGATGTGCTCAACATTCTATGGTTCTCAGTGATAGGCCCAGTGCTCTCAATAAATAGCTGATGGTACTGCTGCTGATGAACAGGGCAAAGGTCTATACATATCCTGAGTGCTGATTGCTATTCTAATTTGGGGCTTTTGAAAATAAATCATCCTTTTTTATTATCTGTATAACCTTATTTTAACAATGAATGTGTATTTATGAATTGTTGAAAATTCAGCCATACCCTTTAGAGTCCTAAAATCACAAGGAAAAGTATGCCGATATTTACATATGGTTATCAAATGGTTCAAAACATGGTCAAATCTCTATTTTCAGTTAGCCATGTGAATCAAACCAACATACAAATAATCACAGGTGATCATGATTTGTTATAGGTAATCTGAATTAGAAACAAATTGGCAAAAATGTTGCCCACTTCCATGTCATTGTCCTGTGGTGAAATTTATAAAATTGAGAACAGAAACTTTTCTTATTTTAGATACATTTTGGAATCTTCAAAATACCTGGTCAGCTCGGTATTTGGCAACAAAGGGCACAGAGATACATGTCTCTCTGAAGAAACTCCATGAGCATATTTCTTTGTTACTTTAG